TGCTTCTTGTTTCGTGGAACAGTAAATCAAGTCCTGGAGTGATTAGGATAATAAAGTTTTCAATTTCCTTTTCTTCACTATATTCCATTTGAGAACCGACTTACTACAAGAAAGGAGTGAAAATGGTTGTTGACATGGGTTATGATTATTAGGAGATTTTACTTGTTGGTAATCTATGATTGTCTTGAAGTCCATCTATTGCAATTGTTAGAGACTAGCCCTTGTATCATGTAGATGCTAACAACAGTTATGTTAATCGTGATCTTGTTGGTCACTATGTAGTGTCCTGGTAAACCATCATGAACTGAGTCTGAGTGACATGTACTGCAGTTCATAGAGACTAGCACTTATATCATATAGATGTTATGAATGGCTATCTTGATGGAGATATTACTGATCACTGTGTAGATGCCTTTGTGGCACCTTTCTTACTACATCTTTGGTTCATAGGCTCAACTAAGCTTCTTGTGGTCTGACATAGTCCCTATAGCTTGTTTGAGAAGTTCTGAGCTAGTATGTTGCAAACGAGGTTTCTTTAGGGTGTTACAGTCCCTCATTGTTTGTTACCTGGAGCAGAAAGTTTGCTATATTTTGGGTTTATGTAGGTGATGTGATCATGTTGGTATGAGGATGCATATTGCATATTAAGTATACTTCACTTTAGCATTTTCATATTAGGGATACAAGCATTCTGTGGTACTTTCGGATCTTGATATCAGCAAATGGGGCTGATTACCTTAGAACTTGATATTAAGTATTCAATAATGATAGTGATTTTTTTTTAGAGAAAGTATGGATACTGAATTGGTGGAAACTTATACTTAGCCATAACTAGACTACTCAAATCTCATATTCTCCATGTGATAGGCCAGTTTTTCCACCCTTGATCTCACACATAGTAGTTGTGCATTGCATTATTTGATATGTGACGTCAATGCCAGGATGTAGACCTGTCATCTTGATACCTATGTAGGCAGTCCTAACATGAAACAACCTACCAATAGCTACTGTAGATTTCTTGGCTACCCTTGTGTTTCTTGGCATGGCAAGAAGCAGATATCGTGCCCAGGTGCAGATCAAAGGTGGAATGTGGAGGTATGTCCTTTGAGTTTTTCATGTGGTGAGAAATTATGCCTTCTAAAGCTTTTCAACGATTTAGGAATTCATCTCTCATGCCTTAACCCCCCCTCCATGGCATTCACTATCCAATAATTGCTATCATGTTTTTTGCGGCACCGCAAAGCATAATGAGGGATTTTTTATTGTTCATCTATGTAATTGAATAAAATAGAATGTAGAATTACAAAAACTGCAAAGAGTCATTTCATAAGATAGAGACTGCTTAGGACTGTCAGCCTCCCTTGTATGTCTTCTTTTGAGCATGAACTTATAAGTTCACATGGCCATTGACTAGAGACAGAGGCAACTACTTAGGGAACAAATTATGACTTGTATCTCTTTTGGTGCTCTAGTTTGATGGGGGTTTCGAGTATGCTACACTTGTAAATATTTTTTGCAAATAGAGTCTCCACTTTTTTTTTTCTAATGGTTGCTGTTGTTTAATCTCCTCTAGTGTTTGGTTTGGTGAACTTATATCCATGTTGCTTTAATTAGGGGCTTTGATTCCTCATTCTGAATTGGAAAAATTTTGTTTTCCTCAACACAAAGTTGATATCTTTGCATAGGTTACTAACTCATGTTGCTCAAGTAGCGTAAGGGACATAGTTGTACAGTTGCCTGATGGATACTCAAGATGGAGTGTTTGAAGTAGCTGGGAGCAGTTTTACATGACAAAAACTTAAAAAAAATTTAGTGTTAAAAACGTTCGAATTGTGCTTCTTTCAGAAGAACGTAATGGTTACAAGGGAATCTACGTGAAAGGGATGATTCTATTTTGCAATCCTTACATGGTTATTATGATAGTTGATGGTTTTGCTCCAACCATATCATATGGCGATATTTCTTTTTGAAGTAGCTGGTGGTCTGTTAGGTGTACAGTGTACTAACTTTGTTAAGCTTCTCTGTTCACTCAGGTCCGGTAAGTTTTGCTAACTCATGATATTCAATGCTCCTGTGAGCGTATCCTGTACAGAGTACCTTCCAAAGATATAGGAGAGGAAAGCCTCTAGCAAGAAATGTTTTATGAGGTAGAGGTAGGCTATATATATTTTGGGGATTGCTCATGTTCGTGAGAGTGGCAAATCAGGAATCTCCTTTGTAGCATCCACATCTATGGCATCATTGCTAAGATCCAACCTGGCTGTCTGTCTTCTCTGCCAGTTGAAAAAACGAAGAATCCATCCACAGAAAGAAATGCATGACCATTATGTTACGTACCAGATGCTCATACATATATTTGAAACTCATGTAGCTTTACATGATGATGTGAATATCTGGACAAGTCATTTTTATCTTCAATCACTAGCTTGTTAGATTTGCGGATTTTAAGGCAACGATTATTTTTGTATACATCAAACTGTTCCCATTGATAACTCATATCCTTATCCAAATCCCCTGTGATAACCTGAGACCCACTTGGAGTTCTGCAAATTAAATTACTTTATATGCTTTAAGCAAGTGTTATATACACAATATAAGCAAGTTGGTAATAGATGCAAAAGAAGAGCTTGGCTTGTAGCCTGCTGGCTTATGACTTTCGGCTCCTTGGAATGGGACCAAAAACCATCCATTAGATTTGATGCCAGTTTGTTCAGAAGCTTGGCCAACTCGGTAACTCCCAATGCTGAGTTGACTCGCAATTCTTTTATCAAACCAAGCCATGCTGCACTCCTATCACTTCGCTAAATGCTGTCTGCATGACAAATATTACTGGAAAAAATGGATTTACATCAAATTATTTCGGGTGAGTTCATTTGAGTTAAGAATGAGTTTTGAATAACCATTTGGAACATCTAGGTTTTTCTCTCCACTATTCAACTCGTTGTAATTAGCAGTTCATTAGCATTCACATTCAGATTCATGCCATGGATGGTGTATGTCATTCATGTAGGTGGGAAGAAGCTTTTGACACCTCAACCACGCCTGAGAACAGGGTTTTTCTCCATGTTGGAGTCTTGCTTTTTAGCTCCTGGGGCCATCAATGAAGCTTGTACTGCCTCAGGTTTTGCCAAATATGGAAGGCCAATTAGTCTAGACGATAAGATCAAAGTGGATCTCATAGTAATTGGATCTGTTGCTGTGGACCCAAGTACTGGAGCTCGACTTGGGAAGGGTGAGGTAGTTTTCATGTTTTCTTTTTGCTTTAAAATATGGGAGCTCACACCTTCTACTCGTTCATTTATGCTTTCCCTTTGGGGTGGTATGCACATGGTGTGTATGGAAAGGCAACCACCATCTATTCTCAAGATGGAAATTGGAGATGAACCATCTAAGAATACAACTGTCATTCCGGCCGGACTATGGTCCATCTCCGTCATTCACCTTGAGAATAAACAGTAATACCATTCCTGTATACCATATGGCACATACATCATGCATGTTCCCTCTACTTTTTGTGATGGGTATGGTATGGGTTTCATGTATGGACCTGGTTTCTATACAGCCAAGCCCTCATATGTAGAAATGCGGGCCTATTAATAAATCTATTTTTGAGATGGAGTTTTGGACTTAATTTTTAAGAACATGTAATCTCTAAATTGGAGATCATGAATATGAAACAGTAACTTTTAAAAGCTAGAAGTAATAATTCTAGTAAGAAAACATTTGGACTGTTAGTTTCCATTGTTTTTAGATGGAACCTACTTGATGGATGCTTTACATTTTTTGGACCGCATATGTAGAAATGCAGTCCAACCCGCATGAAACAATTTTCCTTCATGTATTTGCACTTGTTCAGGGTTTTGCTGAACTTGAATATGGTATACTACGCTACATGGGAGCCATAGATGACTCTACATTGGTTGTCACAACAGGTAATAGCAAGATCTTTTATTAAGTGTTCATTTGGATTTTGTGCTTCTCCTTTTTATTCTTCATTGTGATTCCAATACCATTTACTACATGGATGATCTTTCTGTTTTTTTTTTCTTTTTTCTTTTTGGGTACCTTTTCATTGGGACATGTAAGCTTGTGCTTTGAACTACAAATAGGGATCAGTAGAGGTGGTTATAACAAAATATCTCCAATTTTTTGAAATCTTGGCAGCGTATCGGGTCCTATACCCGGACCTGTCGGGTCCCGGGTCTGGTTGGATCCATTGCCACCCTATGACTATGAGCTTCTTTTCTTTTCTTTTTTTACCCTTCTTTTTACCATCATATACCCTTTATTGTAATATTTATAGTATTGCACAACATTTATGAATACCCACATATCCCCACGTTCCTTACTGTTTTGCGTAATAACTAAAAATTCATAAGAAACAAACATATCGGCAACATTTATGAATACCCACATCATATACCAATATTATTCGGGTCGGGTCCAGCTGGACCTAGACCTAGACCCAAACAGTATTCAGGTCCAGGTTTTGGATCCGGACTCGGACCCGAATAGTATTCGGGTCCAAGTTTTGGACCCGGACCCGACCTTTCGGGTCCAAAATTTGGACCCATACCCCGACTTGAGGTCGGATCTGCCCGTCGGGTCCCGGGTCTAGTCGGGTCCATTGCCACCCCTAATTCTTGAATATTGAAAAATAAATTTATGCTTGAATGTAGTCATAAGATGGCATGAGAAGTATAAGTTTTTAGAAACTTAGAAATTATGGTGAGCATTAAAATTATCTTTTCTATCTTGCTTATGTGATTTCTTGCATTTCTCCATTCTTGTTTTTTTTTTCTCTTTTTTTAATTTACCCTGGTATTTTCTTAAGGATTTCATACGAATACACCAAAAACTTGAAAATATCCTGAAATTCCCAAGAATGGGAAATGTCCCATAATCTACAACTGGTGCATGTCCTCAGTCCATGATATACAATTGGTCGACGACATTCCGGTAGAGAAGCTGTTGATCCACGATGTTCCAGTCGACATAATCTGTACTCCAACTCAAACCATCTACATAAACCCAGTAATTCCAAAACCTCAAGGTACAGCTCTCTCTCTTCAATGCTATGTTTTACTTTTCTGCACGTTAAGCTCAATTTTTCTTCATCATACTAATTTCAGGTATATATTGGGAGAAATTGTCACCAGAAAAGCTTGGGCAAATTCGAATACTAAGGGAGCTCAAGAGAAGGATAGAACAAGAGACTGCACAACAACTTCCTTGTGCTCCATCTGAGAAACTCCCTCCAACCGCCGAACGGAGAAGATAAGTAGATAGGATTTATGAATTATAATATGTAAGATTTCAATGGCTAAAGGCCAATAAGAATGCAATTATTATTTTAAGTTGTGATTAGCTTTATCTAAGTAGGTCAGCATTAGAATTCAAGCATGCGAAGGTAGTGTTGCCATTGTCAATGTACTCGATCACTTAACGCTTTAACTTAACCACCTCAGATACATCATCTGGCTGGGTCAGACTCGGCTGGGTCAGACTCGGATAGGCTGGTTCCGTTGAAAAATAGAAAAATACAAAAAACAAATAAAAGGAAAAATCAGGAGATGAAAGTAATAGAAAAGTGTGTTTTTTGGATTAAAAATATTAAAAAAGCAGAAGTGTGTGTAGAAATTTTTGAATCATTTTAATGATTTTAGGGTTTCTTGAAACCCATTTTCTGATTTTAAGGGTCTAAACGATTCAAAAAATATAGTGCCATTCTAGGAGAGGAAGATTTTGTGACAAATGAAATAACGAGAGGAAGATTTTTTTGGCACATTTGAATAAATATGGTGAAACAACCAGAATAATTAAGAAAATAAGATTGTTGTTTACATAAATATGAGTTGGCTCGGAGATTTGTTAACCAATCAGGCCCAGGCTCAGCTCCTTGTTTTGTCCGGTCTATTTTAAAAAGAGTGTGGTTTGCATGAGGATGCAACTTTAAACCATTAAAGTAAGGTGCATCTCCAAATTTTGTATAAATGGCAATTTTAGTGTCGAGATTTCTAATTAAACTCGGAAAATGGTTCAAATCAAGAAGATCTATAAATGCATGAAATTTTTTAAAATGGACTCTCCAGATAATATGTTTTGATTACTTTTGTTCTATAGGATGGAGTTTCTATAAAGCCTAGGCTATGTGAAAACAAAATAAAGCCTCACTTCAATTATTCGTTCGGAAAGCACTTTCGGCAACAAAATTCTCTATGATGACTCTAAAATCAATTTCCAACACTGACAGTAAAATTTGAAACTAAAAAAATATACAGATTTTGTACATCTATGAACACTTATTTTTAGTGCTAAATGGACAGCGTAGATATTTTGTAACAATATACACTAATATTAGAGCTTAAAATCCTATTTTTTTACACGATAATGTTCAAGCCGAGATGATCAATATAAAGGGTTTTTTAATACTTGAATTGCAATTTTCGATGAGTTGTGAGCTTAGGCTTTACTTACTTAGATAGGGCTGCAGCCCTATCAAACCATTTTCCTTTTTATATCAAACCATTTTTCTTTTCTATATCCATACATCTCAACATCGTTTTCCTTTTTATATCAAACCATTTTTCTTTTCTATATCCATACATCTCAACATCGTTTTCCTTTTTATATCAAACCATTTTTCTTTTCTATATTCATACATCTCAACATCGTGTGATCAATTAGATGGTTTCGAATGTCAAATCAGCCTTCTCAGTGGATTTTTTATGTGCACCTAAATTCTACAGTATAAGTTGTCAACTTTTTATGAACTTTGACCTTTTGAAACTGCTAGTTGTTGGCTTATACCCTGGTGAAAGATGGGTGCAGCAATTATAAAGAAAAAGGGCGGATAAGATTCCATAGAAAGCATATTGTATCATTAAAAACGAGGAGGAAGGCTGAAAGCCTATATCAATTAAATGCCACAACGAAAGCGAGCAAATCTAGCTTTTGAAATCAGGGTTTTCAAATTCGAATTTGAAGGTATTCTAGTAGTGTGAACTCTCTATTCCTTATTGTGAGTGCTTAGGGGACTGAATGCGTGAGTTCTACGTACATTATGTTGATGGTAGGGGTTAAGAAAAATAAAATAAAAAAATAAAACTGGAGTGAACAAATTGTAAAAATTATAGATTTGATTTAGGAAAAAGTTTATATAAGGTTGCAACCTTATATGTAGAACTACGGATGCACCTCAAAAATCCATCATAAAAGGTAGTTTTAATGTTGAAAAACCCTTTGATTGATCATCTCGACATCGAGATATATGACCATGAAAAATAAAAAAAGATTTAAAGTCTCAGAAATAGTGCAATTTACAACATATTATCTATACCATTCATTTTTAAGATTTTCATTTATTCATAGATCTACTTGATTTTAACCATTTTTGAAATTTAAAATTTTATAGTTAGATATAAAAATAGATTTTGAAATAATCCTAACAACATTTTACATCAAAATGATGTACCATTTTAAAATTTGAAGGTGCAACTTACCTCTACAGCTACGGATGCATCCGTATGCTAACTGTAGCCTTTGGTTTAATAGCCAAAAGATTTTATGCTCTCATGGGAGCATGTTGTCTATTTACTCCCAAGTTTCCGGCATTTAACCTTTGCAACCCAAAGAACAACCTAAAAAAAAAAATCAACATCACACTCTTTATGTACTTAAAAGAAATAATGTCTCAAGATTGAAAATAGGCCATCCAATTCTTGGATGATGATATCTAAGTGTTAAAAAACTAAAAAATTTCAAATTTTCTCTTTTGAAAATATAATCTAATGATTCTTAAGAAGTTCCCAAAATGTTAGATAAAACAAAATAAATGGCTGTGGTTTGTATAAGGCTGAGGCGCTAAACAATCAAACTAAGGCATAACTTCAAATAGTGTCGAGAGATGTCATTTCAATGCCGAAAATCTTTATGATGGCCTGAAAATTTATTTTCATATCTAATGATAAAATTTAAAGTTTAAAAAATAGTGTAGATAAAAAAGAACTATGAACACTTGAAAATTTTAAAACTGACAGTATAGATAATGCGTTACAAGATGTACTATTTCCAAGATTTGAAGTCCATTTTTTTTTTTTACATCCATGTATTTCAAGGTCGACATGATTGGATTTGAGGGTTTTTCGGTGTTGAAACAACTTCTTTTAGTGATGTGTGCCTTAGTTTGATTGTTTATAGCCTCAACCTTATATAATTTTTTTCCTTCATAAATTTATACTTTTATTTTCGTTTGGGAAAATGGTTTGATAGGGTTGCAGCCCTATCAAAATAAGTAAATCGTCACCTTATAACTCATAAAAAATTACAAGTCAAGCCTTGGAAAATCTTCACATCGATCATTTTGAACAGTATAGCTATGAGAAAAATTAGGATTTCAAACTTTAAAAAGTAATGTATGTTATAACAAATTATCTTGACCGTTGATTTTTCCTTAAAAACAAGTGTTCACATATTCGCAAGATCAGTATTATTTTTTGAGTTTCAATTTTTATTGTCAGTGTTGGAAATTGATTTTAGACCCGTCATATATCTATATTTGCCGAAAGTACTTTCTGGATGAGAAATTTGAGGTAAGGCTTTATTGTTTCGTAGAGCAAACCTCATCCTTTAGTTTATATAGGCTCGCTTGGTTAAATAAAAGAGGGCTCTTAGGAGTTGTTGACTGTTGAGGTCAAAACTACAGCTTACATGTTGTTGGGAGATATTGTTAACTTGATCAACTTTTATTTTTAAGTTACTTTTATTTTTATTTATGACATTGAACTAAGCTGGAGAGAGAGTGTTTACTTGATAAACTTTTACTTTTATTTTTATTTGACATTGAACTAAGCTGGAGAGAGTGTGTTAACTCGATAAACTTTTACTTTTATCTTTATTTATGACAGGATTATTTATGACGTTGAACTAAGCTGGAGAGAGAGTGTTAACTTGATAAATTTTTACTTTTATTTTATTTTTATTTATGACGGGTATTATTTATGACATTAAACTAAGCTGGAGAGAAATCCGGAGAGAGTGTAACCCATTTAATAAGTCAGGAAAAAGTTTATGCGTGGTTGGAATTTTAAAATGTAGAATTATAATACACCTAAAAAATCTATCGTAAAATGCTGTTTTGATGTTGAAAAATCGTCTAATTGATCATCTCGATATCGAGGTAGATGAATTTAGTCCAAAAAAAAAAAAAAGATTTCAAGTTCCAAAAATAATGTATATCTTGCAACACATTTTCTGGACCGTCCATTTTCAAAAAATTTATGTGTTTATATATCTACTTCATTTCAACTGTTTTTTAAGTTTGATGTTTTTATATAATCAAAGATGAAATTTTTGAGCCATCCTAAAAATGTTTTTATACCAAAATTGCATCTTATAATAAATTTGAAAATACGACTTAATTTAATTGTTTAAGATTGCAACCTTATACAAACCGCACCTAATGAGCACCATGAGATATGCAAATCCCATGAGAGCTCTTATCTCAATCCTGCTTCAAATCCTAAAACTAACTCAAAAATATATTTTTGGAATTGCATAGCATTTGAACTAGAACCCATTTAAACTTGTTTTCAACCTTTCCCTTTATGACCTTTTTCAACTTTTTCCGTCTATGTTATTTCTGATTTATGGTTGGTGGTTTTTTTTAAGGAAAAATTTATATAAGTTTGCACCTCAAAAATCCATGTTGAAAAACCTTTTAATTGATCATCTTGAAATCGAGATATATGACTATTGAAAAAAAAAAATTAAATTTTGAGTCTCAAAAATAGTGTATCTTACAACACATTATCTAGACCGTCCATTTTCAAGATTTTCATATGTTTATGGATCTACTTGATTTTAAATATTTTTAGAGCTTAAAATTTTATAATTAGAGATGAAAATAGATTTTCAGATATAATCCTAAGAATTTTTTATACCAAAATTAATGATAAAATTTGGAGATGCACCTTAATTGGATTGTTTAAGGTTGAAACCTTATAGAAACCACACCCCTTTTTGTTATCTAATTTGAGATGGAAAATGAAAATGAAGTTTAATTCGCCCCTTTTTAGAGGAAGGGATAGGGGTTAGGGAGAGAACCGGAAAGAAAGGACGAATAGATGTTAAAGCTTTCAGCCATCGATCTGCCTCATTCTATGGCTTGCAAAATGACAAAACAGCCATCACATTAAACTAAATAAACTTTCTCACTCAAACTCTCTCTCTTCTCTCTCATATATACTTTAGCATATGAACTACAGTCGGTTGGGATTAACCATGGTCTTTCCTAGTTTAAAATAGTTTTGGTGGCCTTAAAGTAGGAGAAAAATATGGTTTCTCTTACGATTTCATTAGTACTTGTAACTTGGTTCATGAAGGTTAACAATCTGAATGTG